CATGTATTGTGTTATATTATATTTCTGGAAAATTTAAGGGGTAGTTATATAATAATTTTGGACGATCTCAGGTGGTCGGATACTTATGACCGCTACTGTAAAATGATTAAATAAATAAACATTATACCTTTAATAGAGTAATACTTTCGATTCTTAGAGCCTCTTTCAATTTTTTATATGTTTTTCAGTAAAAGTAAAGCTAAAACTTAAACAGAATGTCTTTGCAATAATTACCCAACAGAAAATAATTGCATTCACAATTTGTATAGGTAATGGACTCTTTGAACATGATTTTGTTAAAGTTATAAGTTATCTCTGAAGTGAAGCTATCTCAGGTTCTTTAATATGTAATATTGTTAATGATTATTGTAACGAAAATGGCATTATCATTCCCAATTGTAAACAATCAGAAAACATAAAGCTGTTACGATGCTTGATCAGATTAGGAAGGTGATACCAACCAGATAGAGTCTTGAAATTTTTTTAATAATCTAAAAATATAGATTCCTACTTGAGTTTAAAATCGAAAAAGTATATTCCATTAATTTTTGTACTTTTTCAGCAACGGCATGGTATGTGTCTTGTGGAGTTTGTAAGTGTCGATCGTGTGTTAACTGATTCAAAATACTAGGATGCATTCTTAAACTATGCTAAGTATAATAGGCATTGATTGTTTTTTGTGATACTTCTTCTTAATTTAAGTCCTTTAACCTATTTATTCTTTTATTTGTGAGATGGTTATATCTTGCATTTAATTTGATATCAAAAGTAAGATCATTTAATTAATCCTTGGGTACCAAGCAACTTCTACATCCTTGGTTTCCACCATGACGTTTCATATCTGCAAGATCATTACTTTGAGGCAAATCAGCAGTTATGACACCTAATGCTACAATTATTCATATATCTTGTCTATTGATGTTCATCATTATACCTTTTTCTAAATTCTTGATTTCATTTATGATCAGTTCCATTACATTGTCAAAAACTCTACCAAATAGAATGAAACTTAAAACGAAATAGTTCTTGAATTGCTTTCGTAGTTATAGAGACATATTACAGAATTGTAGATAAATTCTGCCCAAAGAATGATATATATTACAAAAAATATCAAAGTCATCGTAATATATATCTAACATTAATTTTAAGGTAGGTATATCTTGAGGAGTTAATGTGGATATTTGAATGTATTCACTTAGATGATGATGTCGTAATTTGATATCTCTTATCTTCCACTGACCTTTATAATGATACAGGATTTCGCTAATGTAAAATTGATAATTATTAATTGAATTCGGAGTATCTTGAATCCAAATTGTAACTGATTCAATAACATTATCTAAATCGGTCAAAGATGAGATTTTGCTTAACCATAATTCTCCATTTCAAGCTCGTTCTATCTTTATTGAACTTGCAAAAATCCTTGGTAATTCGAAGCTGTAATAAAGAAATTGGATCTTTAATTTAATATCATCAGAAGTTGATACTATTGACAGAATTCTTCTAATTCTTAAACCTTTGTTTTTGTATTTAATAAAAGATCCTATTGTGTATAATACTAAATATAATTTATTAGTTATATCTTTTGAATTGACATTTTTTTGGATTGTAAATGTTACCTTGATTTATCTGAATTGAAGATTGACTGAAAAGAGGTGATTCTTGTTATATATTGCTGTACCAAAACTCTGATTTTGATTTGACTTCGATACCAGAACTAAAATACATTTTTTGTTGTAAAATTTTGTTATTTAAGACTCTTTTTATATATTCAATCACTGATATAGTATAAGCATTCTTGAATGGTACTGATGTCGAAGGGTGTTCATATTTTGAATAAGAATTTTATAACCTTTTATTATTTGAAGTAGAAGTCAGTTACGTAATAACCTCAACCATTAGATATTTTTAATGACATGTTCAGGTCAGAAATCAAGATGTTGTAGGATACATATAAGATCCTCGTATGCTTTAGTAGCTAATAAATAATATTAATTCTATAATAATCGCAAAATGATTATACAGCTTAACTACATTTACTTACTAATCATATTTTTTGTAATCCACGTAAAAAGCAGCATTTCTGTGAAATTTTTAAAATAAGGACTATAATCTCCAGTTACTGGTTAAAAATTAATTTCATTGTCTACTATATTTTACATATAATTTATTATCCTTCTTATCTGTCGTTTAACTTCTTTAATCATAATTGACTTGTTATCATCGCTTACTGAGGTTACGGAATCAGACTCAGAATTATGAATTTCATTTGGAGTTTTATAATTTGTCTGTTCATATGGTAAACCTTCTTGCAATTCCTCACTATCATCGTTTAATTATATAATAAAGTTAGTTCATTAGCGTCTTGTGAGCCTTTTTTTCTTTATACATTACCTATATCACCAGAGATTTTTGATGTAATGCGTTTGCATGATACAATTCTATTACTTGTTTTCTTAGTTCTTATTCATTTCATTGAGATACTGAAAATAATTATAACTTTCGAACTTTCTAACTTTCTGATAATATTATTAAAAAAAATTAAAGTTAATGAAAAAAAAAAATATTGAAGTTTGATGTTATCAAGAAAAAAAAAATAAGAATTGAAATGTTATCAAAAAAAAAAAAAAAAAAGTTTAAATTATTTTATATTGAATCTTACCAAATTTAGGTCAAAATGATTTTTTTTTGATCTATTCTGATTTAATCGATTTAATATAATAAAATAATGTAGATCTTTATCAAATATATTTAACTTGCTATATTGAATATTATTTATTTATTTATTTCTTCATTTTACATAATACAATACTTAATTTTATTATATTTATTGATAGCGTTAGTTTAAATTAAACAGTGTTCTAATATCCAATTTTTGCAAGACATCTCTTCCATCAGCTGCAAATATCTTCATGTCAACTGTTATATTATTTAGATTCTTGACAGCATCAATCACCTCTTTATTCAAAAGATTTTCTTGAATAAAGAGATTAAACGCTGATTGCACAAACTTTGTAAAAGTAACGACATTTTCAGGTTGATCCTTGAACATTTTTTGTTCATCTATTGTATTTATATGGCATTTTAAGAAAGCTATCCAATTGCTTTCTGTGATATATTTATTAACTTATTGTATTGTTGGCTACTTTACCTTAGTTAATCTACATTGATTTGATTGATTTGATTGGTTCTCTTACTATTATTGAATTAGCAATTAATAGTAATACAATTATAAACTTTTACCTGTACTTTTAATAAAATCAGGAATTAACTTTCTAAATTCACGCCTCAATATTACGTTATAATCATAATAACTTCCAAAAGCCTATATTTGCAATGCTGCTCGATCTGATGCTCTGATAGATTGAATATTTGGGAACGAAGTTCTTACCAATGCATCTATGATCTGCTTATTTATAACTCTTGTACGAAAAAACAGACATTTTAAATGTAACTGAAGTGTTCCAAGTTCCTATTTAAATAAAATGATATATAATAATTACAATATATAATTACAACAGTTTACAACAATTCATAACAATTTATGTTTTAAGTTACTCTTTCTGGAAGTATGCTAAACTTGTTAGATTTTTTTTGAATAATTATGGATTTATTATAACTTGCTTTCATCATACTTAAGGTTAGGTTGATAAGATCTGGCCATTGTACTAAATACATACAAATTTCAAGGTCGTTTTTGAATGGACCAATTAAAGAAGATGAATTAATATTAGTTAAATTTGGTATTGATGATGGTTGTTGATCATTAATGTTTTCAGGAGATGATGTTGATGATTGTTAATCGTCAATGTTTTCAAAAGATGATGTTAACAATTATTGATCATTATCATATTCTTCGAGCAGATGGTGTGTCTTTAAAAATTCATTTTGTTGTAATATAATTTCAGGTAGAAACCGTGATTTATCCATAATCAATATACCAACAGTCGTATCTAAATTATATAAATAATATAATAAATTTAATATAGTTTTAAATAGAAGATTAATAATAATTTGTTGACTAAACTATTAGCGAGAAACAATTCATCATGATATAATTCATACCATCATCACTGTTAGTCAAATTAGGTTCTTCATTCTCTCTTAATTTTTTTTTGCATTAGTACGTCTTAGTGTTAGTTTTCTTTTACTTTCTTTGACATTCACATTTATGGTTTCAGTTTCTTTAAGAGAATTGTTTACTTTAGCAAGTTTTAAAGGTGATTCAATAGCTATATTATTATAAATAAATAATAAATAAATATAATAAAAGTAATATAATACTAAAACAAATTTATCTTACCTCTTTTGGTCTTTCCTCTATTATATTTTTGTGATTGGACCATTTTGAAAAAGAAAATAAATTGGAAATCGTGAAAGGTTAAATAAGTATCTAAGTAGATTTTATACTAACTTTTAATCATAACGAAATCATGAAATTTAATAATAGTGATATCATAATCATACATACTTACCAAAAATACATTATTTTATTAATCAATAACGTAACTATTCAGTAATACATGCAAATTATTTTTTTTTAAAAAAAAATATATATATAACTAAAAAATCAACATAAATTAATTAATCAAATATCAAATAAATGTCTTATTTTTTTTTCTTTTAAAAACTTGTCTATTTTTTATTAAAAATATATAATGTAATTTTTTTACAAACAAGTATTAGAAATATCTTTAAACTTAACTAAAACTTGAAATTAACATGTCTGCAAGGGTTTCTGTTGATAAAGTCAAACTATATTTCTCTACTAACTAATTTCTTTTCGTTTATAAATATATTCTACGTTCGAAAACTGTCTAACGTTTGTTTGATCTTGAATTTGAATCAACATTTCTAACAAAGGTTAATATATAACATTATGTTCATTATATGAGGCTAGTACCACAATCATGCATAATGCCAGTCCTGGTAAAATTTTTTAAACTGGTGATTTCACTGTTGATCAATCCCGTAATGAGCAGTTTAAAAATTTTTGCCAGACCAGCATTATGCATGGTTGTAAAATGAGTGTATAACGTTAGCACAGTGAAATTTTTTAAATTGATGATACTAGCCTTATAGGATTTTTTTGATACAACGTGATCACGAAACAATTATGCTTGATTTTTTATTAGATAATATAATTAATATGCAGTAATTATGAAAATTTTATACTTTACGATATTAATACTATGATTTAATAATTCAATAACTTAATTTTATGTCATAATTTATATATTTATTATATAATAATATTATAATGCAATTAAAAATATAATTATCATATTGTAAAAACATTGTAAAAATGGTAATAATTATATAGTAATTATGAATTTTATAAACTATACAATTGTAATATTAAATTTATACAATTATATCATAATAAACATATGGTTAAAAAAGTATAAGTTTCAGCAAAGAATAATGGAAATTGTAATAGGTTAATAAAAAAAATATACTATAGACTTTACAAACCAGAATTTTTTTTGACGGATAAAGATTTTGATCAAATTTCTGCTGCATAGCATGCATAGTCAAGTATAAAATTTAATTATGCCGATGTCATATGCAACCTGCTATTAAAATAAAATTAAAAGATAACAAATTACCATATCATTTTGAAATTAAGTAACCTTTTTTTGCTATAGGGTTGCTTAATTTTGGGTACTTTTTCTTTTGTAGAAAAAGAAATGAAAAAATTGCTGTATAATAAACATTTCGTTATCATATTACACAAAATAATCATCTGTATAATGTAATGTGATATCACAATCAATAAATCACGTGCAATCAATCATGAACTTGTTTCTAAACTCATTTTAAAACTTAATATGTCACTACAAAAGCAAAAAAGTCTAATATCTGTTAATAAAAAAACCTTCAAATGAAGTCGCAATTCATATTCTATTGAGCAAAAGAGACAAGTTATTACTTATGCTAAGGAAAATGAAATAATTAGGCAGCAATTCATATTCTATTGAGCGAAAGAAACAAGTTGTTACTTATGCTAAGGAAAATGGAATAATTAGAGCGGCAAATACTTTTGAACTTAATAAAAGTATAGTTAGTCACTGGGTTAATTCAAATGAAAAATAGTTTAAAGAACCAAACCAAAACTGCAAACGAATAGGTTCTAATCGAAAAAGCTTTTACCCAGTTGCTGAAAAAAACTATACGATTGGATCATTGAGCAGAAGAAGCAGGGTTTAGGTGATGGCAGAAGGTGATGCAGGAGTAATCACATCAGGAAACCTTCATCATGCTAGATTATCTGATGTTTGTAGGTAGGTCAAATATACTTGGGAAGGAATTTCAAACGAAATGGTTATAAAGTCTTTTAAGACTTGCAAGATTTTGACTTCTTTGAACATATCAGATGATGATAATGAAGATTCTAGTGATGATATTATTGGTAGCGATGATGGCGATGATGATAATGATGGTGGTGATGGCGATGATGATGATAGTGATGATAGCGATAGCAATGACAATAAATAATATTACTAATTACTGTAGTTTAGACTAATTAATATTTTATAATAAAAATACATTATTAATAAATTTAATGCTATTTTTAATGTTTATTATATTTAATTATTATGTTTAATTATAGGAATTTATGAGTTGCTTATTTTTGGATCTATACTAATTGATGAGTTGCTTATTTTCAGGAGTTGATTAATTTCAGAATGGTACAGTATATATAATTCATTGGTTGTATATGAAAAATTTCTTTTATAAAATAACGTTTGTATCAACAATAGAAACAAGATCAGAAAAGATTTGTTTGGTAAAAAAAAGTATGGAAAAAATTATCAATTAACATTTACATCAGCATCTATTAATACCAAATTTAATTGGAGAGTATTCAAATACGAAAATAGGTATAAAGATAGTCATTGTCATGATCAGCCTATAAAAAGATTGGAAAAAACAGAGAAACCATAATTATCCATTTATTTGGAAAAGTATTCAAAGTGCCTTATATAGTGATTTTATGAATTAAGATTTTAAAATGGATTTATTTTTACGTTAAGTTTAACACAATTTTAATACAAAATCTTTCTTTCTATAATTAGGACTGACTATAAAAAAAAAAGAATATCTTTGTAATTTATTTATAGGATAATTTCAATAAGTTTCACTACAAAAAAAATATATATATATATTTTTTCTAATTTCAAATAATAAATAGCTAAAAATATGATAATTAAATAATGATATTTTTTTACTCATGAGGATCTTATTAATAAAATTTTAACGCGAGTATTCT